GGGAATATCTGAGAATGTCAGTCTAGCACGCATGACTGTACAGAGAAGAATAGCTGACTTTTCTACCAATCTAAGTGATCAGTTAAAGCAAAGAGTCAGTAAATTCTGCTTTTACTCCCTAGCTATGGATGAAAAGACTTTAAAGACAGCGCCCAACTTCTTATTTTTATTAGAGGTATTGATAAAAACTTTGAAATTACTGAAGAACATGTGCTCCATGATAGGTTGCACAACCGGAAAAGAAATCTCCAGTGAAGTGATAAAGTGCATGAATGATAAGTCGGGATTAGATTTCACAAACTTGGTGGCCATTTGTACTGATGGTGCTCCAGCTATGTGCGGAAAAAATGTTGGAACAGTTACTCTTCTTGAAGAATTTATCAGGAGACAAATAACCAAACATCACTGCATTATACATCAGCAGGTTTTGTGTAGCAAAGTCTTAAAATTTGAGCATGTAATGTGAGTTGTAGTTTCCATTGTAAACTACATCCGTTCTAGAGGACTAAAACATTTCGAGCCTTTCTTGAAGGGGTAGACGCCGAGTGCAGCAACTTAATCTACCATACGGGAAGTGAGGAGGTTGAGTAGAGGAAGAGTGCTCCAGTATTTCATTGCTTTGAAAGAGGAGGTAGCAAAATTCCTAGAAAATGGGCCAATAAAATTCCCAGAGCTTGAAAATGAGTCCTGGAATCAAGATCTCTTTTTTCTTTTTGTGATATTACAGCACACCTGAATGATCTCAACATTCAACTTCAGGGAAAAGATCAACTTATATTTAAAATGTGTGCAGCAGTGAAAGCTTTCAAAATGAAATTGAAACTTTTCAGAAGTCAGCTGTCAAAAGGAGAAATGTGTCACTTTCCCACTTGTGCACAGCGTATCCCTCAGCACAAACATGCCGAGTTAGAAGAAAAATATGCAAAGCACATTAATCTTTTGATTGAAGAATTTGACAGAAGACTTACTTTGTCTAAAGAAGAAGACGTCCAGTTGAAGCTGACTGAAGATCCCTTTTCCGTGGAACCAGATTTGCAGTTGGAGTTTATTGAACTTCAATGTTCGGCGGTTTACCGAAATAAGCACAGAGAAAGCAGCCTGCGGGACTTCTACAAAAGTCTGGACAATGAAAAATACAAGAATCTTATCGAAGTTGCACTGAAAACGTTCAGCATTTTTGGAAGCACTTACATATGTGAACAAACATATTCCACATGAATAAAAACAAGCATCGTTCTTCTCTGACTGACGACCATTTGAAGACATTATGAAAATATCCACTTCAAATATCACCCCCAAATACGACAACCTTGTTGCCCAAAAGAGATGTACTATCTCTCATTAAATTTGCAAGGTAATTATGAAAAGTACAAATCTTTTCTTTCAACGGAACAGGTGTTTTTCATTTTTCCATGATTCATTAAAAAAACTAAAATTAAAAAAAGTTTGCTTTAATTGAAAAATTCTTAATAAAGTATCACTACCCTCCGCCCCTCCCTTCCTTTTTGGCCCACAGCTGTTTCGGCGGGTCAGCGCTGGGGAAGGAGGGTTTGTTTCCGCGGGGCCGGGCAGCACTGGGGGGGTGGGGGGGCGAGGGTTCGGCAAGGCCAGGGAGTTTTGGCCCTCAGCTGTTTTCTTTGGAGTAATACGGCCCTCGCCGCTTTACGGGTTGTGCAGGCCTGTGCTAGGCAATGGATATATGGTGCACACACTTTGCCTCCCTTGCCTGAAAGATGTTCTCTCTCTTTTGCTTGCATTCCTCCACGAGGTCCAGCCATAACACTGGCCCCAACATATCCCTGTCATAAGAACATAAGAACGGCCATACTGGGTCAGACCAAAGGTCCATCTAGCCCAGTATCCCGACTTCCAAAAATGGCCAATGCCAGGTGCCCCAGAGGGAATGAACAGAACAGGTAATCATCACGTGATCCATCCCCGTCGCCCATTCCCAGCTTCTGGCAAACAGAGACTAGGGACACCATCCCTGCCCATCCTGGCTAATAGCCATTGATAGACCTACCATCCATGAACTTATCTAGTTACTTTTTGAATCCTGTCCAGACATGTATTTAGGGTCTGATCCAATACTTGTCAAATAAAACTTCAGTTAACTTGTCACACAAGGATGCAGCATCTGCCTCGCTTATTGCCACAAATGCTCTTTTATATCTACTTTTCCTTTGATACGATCAATATTAAAAAAGTGAAGCCATTTGATCAACATGTTTGCATCTGCAATGACAGTAAACAACTTCACTTCTTTGCAGCTAGTAAATATGTGCTTCCTGGTTTCTGAGGCAAAAAGACTTATATGTTCATCTGTAATTTTCTTGCTCAAGTATTTATTCTCTTGGTGTCACTGGTATGTCAGGCAGAAGTTGTATTATGTCAGGCAAGCAGCTTCATAATCAACTAAATACCACAAGAGATGCTCTCCAACACTTCACAGTGGGCGTGAAAAGGGAGACCTAAACTAGCTAAAGTTTTGACTGTCATGCAATATTTTTAATACTTCTTGCAACTTCCTGATATTTTCAGATGCTAAAGTTTATCAAAACATGTATTGATACTTGTGAAGGGTCAAAACTGTAAAGCTGCCACATGTGACTACAGATGTTGTTTGGTCCTCCCATGAACAGCCATTAACTTGAGCATATTCTTCCAATCATTGAAACCTTTTACCCATGTTGATTTTTGAGCTTCTGTATCCCCAAAGGTTTCAGAGTAGCAGCCGTATTAGTCTGTATTTGCAAAAAGAAAAGGAGTACTTGTGGCACCTTAGAGACTAACCAATTTATTTGAGCATAAGCTTTCGTGAGCTACAGCTCATTTCATCGGATGCATAAAGTGGAAAATACAGTGTATCACCAAACAATCACCAAATGTGACAGTATGTGTAATCTGAAAGATATGAGCATGCTAAGCTACTTGACATGCAAATCTTCATGCAGTGCTTTTATCATGCTGTAAAATGAAGATGGGAAAATGGCATCTTGATGGAAAAATTGAAACTCTCCATTTGGCATATCACACTTGACGGGCAGGCAAGGACCAATCTGTACAAGCATACGCAATTGCTCCAGTGATAAAACTGAATCGTGAAAGTGACTTATCATATGGGAACTTCAAACCTATTCCAGCAGGAAGACTGCTTTGACCTGCTCCATTGTTGGCCTGCTCATGACCTGCTCCATTGTTGGCCTGCTCATCCACTGAGCCTTTGGTTTTGCTCCTTTCAAGTTCTTCTACAGGGTCTCTTGTTTTACGATCATCTATGGGATCTTTGGCTACGTTGGGCTGTAGCTAATCTACAGGCAGTGGCAGATTAACACGTGCCCAGGGGCCCGGCCAATTTGGGGGCCCCCGCAGGAGTGCCAGAACCTGGGTAGAAGTGGGAGGGGGGCCACGGTCACCAGAACTGTGGCCCTGACCCCTGCTCCTCCTCTTCCCCCCCCCAAGACCCCACCCCCTGGCCAGGGCAGAAGCTGGAGCTGGCAGTGGTAAGAGCTGCCCAGGGAGCTCAGGCCACTGTGGGGAGCCTCGGAACCTGCATCTGCCCTAAGTAGGGGGCCAGAGTGTCCAAGAGCAGCCCCCAGCCCAGTGGGACATGCCGCTGCTGGTGGGACACAGGGGCAGGGCTCCGGTCCGGCCTCCTGCCCCCTCCCCAGGGCCTACAGACATGCTCTGTGGGGAGGGGAGCCCTGACCTGGCCTGGGAGGCAGTAGGGAGCCCTGGGAAGGTCACAGGCAGCAAGGAGCTGGGCAGAGAGCTTTTCCGGCTTCAGCAGCCACTGCACTCCACCCAGGCTCCTCTGCTGGGTCGCTCCTCTGCTGGGTCGCTCCTCTGCTGGGTCACCCCACTGCCGCCTGGGCTTTGTGCCTAAGGCAGCAGCCACATGCAGCATCGCTCCTCCTGTCGCCTCTAGCCTGAGGTTTGCAGTTTTGGGGGGGTAACACCACCCCCACCTCCCCAAACTATACCCATGCAGCCGCTGCTTTGTGCCTGCCTGAGGCTACTACGCCTATGTGAAAAAATGGGCCGGCATAGCCTTCTCTCTTTAAAAAAAGGGGGGGGAGATGGCCTCCCTCTTTTCCGGCACCCCTGAGCCCCCAGAGTGTGGGGGGCCCAAAAGTTCTTTGTGCCCAGGGCCCCAGTAAATCTTAATCCGCCTCTGAACTGGAGCAACCCCGGCAGGATGGGGAAACTCCTGCTACTATCAGCCAGTGCTGGGCATGTGCAATGCTGTGGGATTTGCAAAGGCACTGCATGACAGGTGGGGACGGGTCCCCTGCTGGGACTCCCTTTAAAACTGGGGGCTGATGGCCAGGGTGCAGGTATTAGACACAGCACAACCCAGGTAACTGCAACAGCCCTGAGGCAGCGAGGGGGGGCCCCTGGCCATGGAGACTTGTGAGAGGAGGGCCCCAGAATCCAGCAGGGCGGGCTGGAATAGCTGGGGCAGCTGTAGACTGCCACGTGCCCGTGCAAATCATGAGAACGGTGGGGGTTAGTTAATGTTTGCAAGTGCTTGGAAGAAGTAAGAAGTGCTCAGCCTTGGGTGAAAGGCGGGAGTGCTATTTCCTTCCTCCCTCCCCCCAGTTTCATCCAACCCGAAATGTCACCACGCCCAGGGCGCGGATAGCCAGGAGACACTCTGAGCCTGGCCTGTGCATTTCAGGAGAGAGAGCTGCCCTCGGCTAGCCTGAGTTTCTTTCTGTCGCTTGTTCACAAACTACCTAGGGGAAAGCGGCGTTCTGCCTCGCTGAGCGCCTCACGGCCGGGACGGGCACACGGCGGCCACATTTTACAGTCCCGTTGTAAGAAACGCTGTAAAGAACGTGGTTAAAAGGGAGGAATTACTTGCAGTTCTGCAGCCGAGCCCTCTTGCGGAATAGGACTCTTCCGTCCTGCGGCGGGGGGTGGATTTGATTTGCAGATGGAGCAGCCAATCTTTTGGCAGCAACCGCTTCTGAGGGCAGCAGCTGACCCCTGTTTCATCTGCGACGTAGCCTACCAGAGGGAAAGGAGAGAAGCTTGCAGGGTGTGGGCTGGAAATGCAGCCCCTAAAATGCCGCACAGCAGCCTAAAGCAAAGCAACCATTACCAGACATCTTCTGTAAACTGGTTTGTGGGAGGCTGAGCCATATTCCATTCAGGGGAGAGTCTCTTCCTTACAGTGCTACTTGTAACTTCCCAGCGGGGTGGAAGGATATTTTCTTAGTGAAAAGAACAGGAGGACTTGTGGCACCTTAGAGACTAACCCGTTTATTGGAGCCTAAGCTCTCGTGCGCTCTAGCTCACTAGTAACATTAAGGAATCGATGAATTTGAGTTAAGGGGGGAAGGCTCCCTGGAGCGCTGATGATGACTTCAATATACAGCACACAGAACAGGATTGCCCAGATGACTTCACTATACGCCACGTAGAACGGGCTTGCCCAGGCAGTAATACCAAGGGTGCGTGTGGCAAAGTTACCAAGGTCGCGAGGACAGTACCTCTAGTGGTGTGCCCCTAACTTCATAGATTTTAAAACTCAGACTGAAGGCACCCAACTGCAATACTTCCATGTGCTTCCGTCTTCCCGACCTGCAGTCTGAAGGCGGGGTTTGAGATGGGCAGCTTCACAGCCTCCACTACACGGAAAAAGAACAGGAGGACTTGTGGCACCTTAGAGACTAACCAATTTATTTGAGCATAAGCTTACGTGAGCTACAGCTCACTTCATCGGATGCATACTACACGAAAAGACAGCGCACAGCAGCCTTCAGCAGTGATTAACGTGGTGGGGCTATGAATCTGGGAAGAGCAGCTTTGCTAACGACAGTGCTTAATTAAAGTGCGTCCTTCAGTGACCCAGCTTGATTAAAAAAAACACCGCTTTGGCTGGGTCTGCGACCCTTTGCAAATCCTCTTCACCCCTCACCCCCCCACTCCAGCCACTGGGAAGGAGTTATGAGGTTTGTACGTTGAATGTAATCTTAGGGGGGAAAGACCTGGGCTGCCTCTTTTTGATTAATCTGTTCAGAGGATAGCTACCTCTAGAGCTATAGAACAGGAGAGGGATAGCTCAGTGGTTTGAGCATTGGCCTGCTAAACCCAGGGTTGTGAGTTCAATCCTTTAGGGATCTCGGGCAAAAATTGGGGATTGGTCCTGCTTTGAGCAGGGGGTTGGACAAGATGACCTCCTGAGGTCCCTTCCAACCCTGACATTCTAATTCCCTAGCCAGACATGGGCACTAATAGGCAGTTCTCCATCTTGCGAAGACAGACTGGGTTCTACCAGGTGTCTTCATGTCAAGCCAGGTCAGTCCGGTTATAACTGGTGCTAACTGACACTTCTACAAACTAGCCTTTTTCTGTAGCTGAGTTGCTTTCAAAGGTATGAGACTGAAGGTCAGACAAGAAGTTAAAGGCTTAATCTGCAGCAAGGGAGATTTAGGTTAGATATCAGGAAAAATTTCTAACTCTGAGGATAGTTAAATTCTGGAATAGGCTTCCAAGGGAGGCTGGGGAATTCCTGTCAAGAACAGGTTGGACAAACAGCTGTCAGGGATGGTCTAGGTTTAGTTGGTCCTGCCTCAGTGCAGGGGGCTGGACTAGATGACTTCTCAAGTGCCCTTCCAGCCCAGCATTTCTATGATTCTCTTCTGCCTTTGAAAACATCAAAGAAATTGCTACCAGTCTGACCTGTACAACTGAACAGCTCACTGTTTGTACAGCACACTGGGGTCTTAGTCCATGATCGGTTCACTTATGTGCTTCTGTAATAATAAATAATAACAACATATTGGCACCAATAGTGAGTGGCTATTGGAAAGTAATTCACTTCAACCGCACACCTGGGTGGGTTGGGTATATATTATCCCTCCTTTGCAAATGAGAAACTGAGGCACCAAGAGCATGAAGACTATTGCTGATCATGGTTTCAGCTACAGGTCCCACTGATCCCTGAAGTTCTAGTGAAAATGATCTAGTTACTAGTGTAGATAGGGTAAAACTGTTTAAAACACCGTTAAGGAAAATATGGTGTCAGACTAGTGGTGTCAGTAGGTGTCAATCATGCTTCCTGTAACAATATTATAAATGACTTTCAGAGTAACAGCCGTGTTAGTCTGTATTCGCAAAAAGAAAAGGAGTACTTGTGGCACCTTAGAGACTAACCAATTTATTTGAGCATACTGTGGAAAGTATAGAAGATCTTTTTATACACACAAAACACCCATTTTTTCATGCTTTGTGTGTATAAAAAGATCTTCTATACTTTCCACAGTATGCATCCGATGAAGTGAGCTGTAGCTCACGAAAGCTTATGCTCAAATAAATTGGTTAGTCTCTAAGGTGCCACAAGTACTCCTTTTCTTTTTATAAATGACTTTGTCTTGCTTATGTTATCACCTAAATTACCTTCAACAGCATTGGTAGTACCAGCAGGCATCAGTTGCAGTTTAGAGTGACCACTCATCATAATCAATCACTTCTTTGTGTAGAGGAGGCCATGGTTGTATCTTTGTCTAGACTTGTCCCAAGTCACACTGTGAGTCAGGGTCAGAACTGCGATTGGAATGCAGGTCTCCTGATTCCCGGTCTTGTGTTTAAAGCACAAGACTAAGTGGTAATCACGGTCATCCTTTAGCTGGGGTACAGCTCTTCACACATCTCATCAGGAGACAGATTAGCATTTCTTCCCAAAGCAGAAGTTGTGTGCCCATATGGGTGGGCAGATAACCTGGCTTCAGGGATTCCCAGTGGAAGGCTGACATAATAGGACAATTTAAAATGAAACTGAGCTTGCAGCTGGAATAAAATTACAATTTACTCTGGGTTCTTGATAGTAAAGTGATTCAGGGAACTTGCAATCGGTACTGGTACAGAGATGTTTTAAAACTGTGGCATTTCGGCACTCAAGGTGGGTATTAATGGCAATGACTGAAGGAGTTTGGCAGCTGTAACATTTTTTTAAAATGGGGCCGTACATATCAATCTTAGCACGTGCACTGTATTATGCATCCCATCACCCTCTCCTGGATGTTCCTTCCTCCTTCCCCCTTGTGCCTGTTGTCTATTTCCCTTACCTATGTTGCCATACTCTGCTTAGCTCTTTGGAGCAGGGTCCCTGCCTTTTCTCACTCTGTAGAAAGCGCTGTGCACACCAGATGGTGTGATATTCTACCCATGGTACGTGATAACTTGGTTTACAAATACTGCTGGACTCCAAGGCAATGGCAGTAAAATATTGTTGGGGAAGGGTGGGAAAGAAATAGCTTGTAGTAGATCATCTTTGGGCAATGTGCATAACTAGGGGAATCCTGTCTACCCCGTGACCATATTGTCTCTTGTTCCATCTGCAGGGTTCTTCCCTGCCCTTGCCCAGGAGCAGCCTTTGGGAGTGGTTCTGGGGCCTTCTTTTCTGACATGCCTTTCTCTTCTCCCAAGCTGCTGCAGAGCCTAGAAGCTCCAGGAAACAAAGCTCCCTTGGATGGAAGAGGCTGGGCCAATGAAACCAGCTCTCAACCCTGACTGGAAGCGCTGTGGGTGGGAGAGTTCAGTTTCCAGGCCCTCCTCCGTTGGAATCTCTGCTGAGATCACAGAGCAGTGAGTCATTTAGCACCAGTGCCTTTTTTTTTTTTTTTTTTGGGGGGGGGCGGGGACACTTATCCACTGTGACCTGGGCTGAGACCACTGACCCTACCTGCCTGGTCTCCAGTGCTTACCTCTGAAGGCTTCATCTTTCCCTCCAGTCTCTGGTTTTCTGCAGCACCCCCTGGGCCGCCAGCATTTCTGAACAGCCATTATATGATGAGTGCTCTCCATCACGACGCTGAGCTGTGCTGAGTCCGGTATCCCTGGAGAAGAGGGCTCCGTCTCTTGTTGCCAGCAAGCCATCCAATGCCTCTGGACTTATTTTGGCTTTGTCTTGTTTTTTAAAATTGTGGCTCCATGCCCCAGTGCCATTATCATCACCTGTAAGAGGTTTTATAATTAGTCTATAAATAGCTACCTTAGACGACGATGATGATGATTCAATCATCCAGGGGATGGTGAATGGGCAAAGGAGGGAGGGAAATAGGGGTACGAGGCCAGGTTCAGGTGCAATGGGGTTGGACATGACCCAGGGCTGAGAGGTTCTGCCTGATTGTACAAATAAAGGCCACTAGACTCTTTCATCATCCATTGGTCATTTGTGCCAAGACAACCTAGATTCACATGAGATGGTATCAGCACCTATGTAACATTTAAAAATCCCCCACCTGTCTTAGAGAATGCAGTGGTGGCTTTGGGCAGCAGCCCTGGGGAATTTCAGGGCAATTGAGAATTCAGCAGTGTGTCTGAGCAGAGTCCCTGGGGAATTTTGGGGCAACTAAGAATGCAGGGTTGGACATGGGCCCTGGGGAATTTCAGGGTAACTGAGAATGCAGCACAGGGGCCAGGCATCTGCCTCCTGGGACTTCAGTGGTTTAATGTTGACTGCACACTTAAAGATTTGCTGCTTGTTTGTGCACCTCTGTGTGATGGGTTTTTAGAGGCATCTGGCACAGTATGTGTCACCACCACCAGAAGCATCAGTGGGAAGAGAAGCTGCCTGTTTTGCAACAGAGGTGCTGGTGCCTGATGCCAATATTTTTAGATGATCATTAGTTTTAGATGAGCAGTTCTGTCAGTGTGATCAAGCTGGTGTGTTACTTAAAAGGAAATGGTGTTTTCTCTTCAAACACACCCTGTACCTGAGCTGCTGCATCAGCTGGAGGAAAGGAAACCCAGACTCACCTACAGCTGCTTTAACTCCACCAGTGTCCAAGTTAGTGTCAGTTACGTGCTAAAGAGCTGCAAGAAGGTGCAGTTTACAGTAGGTTGGGAGCTACTTTAACTTGTACGTTTCCTGGCTCTCAAGCATGCAAGTAGCACCTACTTAGATCCCCTGAGATAGCCATGGAGTAGATCTAACTGAGCGGAAAGGAATTTAAGAGACCGTTTGGGGTTCTAATTTTCACCACCTTATGTATCACCTCTGAATTTGACCCAAGATTTAAAAATTGACCCTCCAAGGGATCTTCCACCCATCAGCATGTGCCTTACAGCACATTCATTTTGATTTGTGCTAATATCAGTACTAATAGTTAATAACACCTAGCTCTTTTAATAGCACTTTTTCTTGTTTCTTAATAGGCGAAGACTTCTGGGGGTGCCCCAACTCTATATTGGCAGCCTACATGTAAGGCAGGGGTTGTAGCTTCCTCTTTTGGTGGCCAGTAGATAATAATAATACTAATGAATAGCAGTCACAGCTACTTTCTTCAAATGAGAGGTTTAAATCTGGATGTAAGTACAACTCAGATGGGGTGTTATCCCAAGAAGTACTGACACTGTGTGCTTCGCAACTCAGAAGCAAAAGGATCATTTCCCATAGCAAAGGTAGCATCCCTTCTGTTCCATGTCCGTATTTATTAATACACATGTATCAATTACTGAAAGGAAAGAGCTCCTTTTTCATCCCACTGCAGCTCTCGAGTGGGGACTTTTATTTATTTATTTATTTATTTATTTAGGAAAAAAGGCTTCTCTTAAATATAATTTACTATTTTGTTTAGCCTTTTACACATCATGAAAGTATTTCTAGCACAAGCGGAGCTGTAAGTTAATTGATACTACACTGAGGGAGAGAGGGAATATCTAGAATTACAAATCAAATTACACCTCTTCATCGGTCATAGCTTTGTTTAAATCAGGAATCCCTGAAGTTTCACTTATTGTGGACCATAGGTTAGCAGAGAGAATGTCTCATGGACATTTGCCCTATTGTACCCAATCACATAACAGCTCAGTGGCAGTTACAGCCACAGGACAAGTAATGGTAGGGACGTGTTAATGTATTTTAGCTTCCTTCAGTGCAGTTTAGCAGCTGGAAACAGAGTGGCAGCCCTGTGTGACCAGGCACTTCTCTGCAGTTTTGGAGAAGTTTAGTTTAGAATCAGAACTAGCTTTTTATTCCTGGTTCTGTCATTCCTTCGCTCTGGTCATGTCACTTCAGCTCTCTATGCCTCTTTTTCTTCATCTCTTAAAATGGGGATGAGAATGATGATACTTATACCCTGCCCTACAGAACATTATGAAGCTTGTGGTGTTGCCAGCCTCATGCATTTAAAAATCATGAGTTAGGCCTCAAAATTGAGATTTTAAAAATAACCAATTTAGGGGTCTTTTTATTTGCCTTCTGGCTTTGGAGCCTTTATGAGTCACAATTTCAAGTTCTCTCTGCAAGCATAAGGGCTAGAAATTTACATTATTTGTAAAAAAAAATAGAAGCTGAGATTCTCTCATAATCACTTGACTCCAGGAGCAGGGGTTTTAAGAAAAAATACCACATATCCCAAGACTTGTGATAAAATCATAAGACTTGGCAACAGTGAATTATTAATATTTAGAAAATGCTTCGAACAACATGGGTGAAAGACTCTGTGGAAGTGCTAAGTATTGCTGTATAATCCTAGACTCTGCATGTCCTCTGCACATGAAGTGACTCAGTGAGGAAAGCGTGTATTTACTGAAATAACATTGATGAAGAAAGTCTTGGATCAAATTCCAGATGAGCCCAAACTTCCTCTCTCCAGGATGTGCCTCCCTGAATCAGTATGTTGAAATATCTTGAACTTGCAGGGTGTCTGAAATCTGGATCCAAACTTTCCCAAATGTTGGATTCTGTTCTTTATAGGAATTAGTTTGAGCTATGAATTCAGGTATGAACCTGGATCTGGTATCTGACTTCGGGACCCTCTCTAGTTCATCTAAGAAAAAGCCCACAGATTTCAAGCAGACACAACTCCCCTCCATGCTGGTACAGAACATGACTTGGGGGGGTGGCGGTGGAGACTACAAATATTGAACCAGGGAGAGAACTCTCTTATTGTAGGATATGCAGCTGGGGAAATGGGGCATTGAGAAGTTGTCACTTTCCCGCGGTCACACAGGAAGTGTGTGACGGATCAGGAACTGAACTCAGATCTCCCAATTCAAGTCTGATGCCTTTGACCACAAGAACATCCTTCCTCTCTTTTTCCATTAGGTTTACAACGTGCATGTTGGTGCATAGGGGAAGCTTCTTCTGCAGCTACCAGGCCTGATCTAAAGCTCACCAAAGTTAATGAAAAGACTCCCATTGACTTTCAATGGACTTTAGGTTCAAGCCACAGAGGAAATTTGTCAAGCAAGCTCCTTCCCTTTATGAAATGATGTAAAGAAAATGGCATTTTGGTTTAAGATGCTTTGTAGTTGTGGCATTCTTCAGGGCTTTCCGTCTCACTGAGTTTGAGGAGAGAAGTCAAGACACTGCCTCCTAACACACACACAAATGGGAGTTGTTTCTGCCCTTTGGAAAAGGAGCTGAAGTCATGCCCCTTGGCCACACCTTGTGAGTCTCTTGGGCCTTGTCTACACTGTGGGACAAACATCATGGTGGAGAATGTGTTAACTAACAGGATGTTAAGTCTTAAACATGATCAGTTAACATGTTTTAAACATACCCTGTCTTGGCTACACTGGGTGTTAAGTGGTTGTTTAACATCATGCTACTGCAGTTGTGTTAGATTCTGTCTACACTGGGGGGAAAACATGTTGCAAAATGTTAACCAAGTTTTGTTTCTGCTTTCAGGGCAATCTCCTTTCTTCCATGTAAAAAGATGCAGCCTGGAAGGGCCAGTGGTGAGCACTGCCATCCCAAAGGTCTCTAGCAGCTGAGGGGGATCCAGAGAGGCACAACAGAAAAGATGATTACCAGGGTGGACTTCTGAGGAAAGAATAAAAGAGTTAAAGGGGGAACATTGTTGACATCCGTGGAGTAAAAATAGGCATGGATTTGGCCCACTACATCTAGTTTGGTTATGTGACAGCTAAGTGGGGCTGGCCCAGCTATCTGCAAGTATCTGAAGGGTGTAAACACCAAGCAGCAGAGGAAGTGGTTAGAGATCCTCTGGTTAGAGAGGGTCCGGGCACAGAACAAGGAGGAATGGCGTAGAACTAAGAAATGTAGGCTGGATGTTAGACCCCACCATTAGGAATGTTTCCTTTCCAGATGAGGACTGACAATCTCCCACAGCTTGAGCCATTTCTATTGAGACTGGACAATGAGTAAACAGTGCAAACAAGAACAGCCCCACACTGGTGGTGGAGGACCAGGGGCTGGGCTGACTGCTATTTGACCAGACAACTGTATTCCACCCCTGATTTCTCTGACGCTGTGAAGTGACAGGGTTCCTTTGTTTTTTTCCTTGATTGGCTCATTGTAAAATGCTGCTGATTCTGGGAGTGTCTCCTGTTGGTTTGATTTATACCAGAAGCCAAGGGGCCCAAAAGGTTGGAACACCTGGGAAATAAAGGGCAGTAGGGAAAAGGGAGCAGGGTGCAGTCCTGAACGGGTACTTCTGTATTTGACAGAATGCTCCATGCTGTGCATTTCAGAGAATTAGGAAGTGCTGGTTGGCGTCAGAAGAGGAACAAATGCAACAGGGTCATTGTATGGGTACATTTTATCCAGCAATCTAACAGAGCCCTAAAAATAACCTCCTGCTTCCCTTTCATATTTAGGTGCTTTGTCTGATGTTATTCAACCATGACGCCACCCTAATGCACACAGCAGCTCTTGCACAGGGAGCATGTGCTCACTCACTGTCAAATCCCCCACACACCACTCATGCCCTCTGACAGCCTTCCTCTTCCTTCACACACGGGTGTCCATGCTCACAGCGGGACGAAGCCTTCTCAATATGCCACAAAGACAGGTTGGCTGAAAGACTGGCTTTCTCCCCTCCTAGCACTGCTGCCATTTGCCACTCAGAGGCACAAGCAGCTGTCCCCCAAAGCTCCCTTTTGTCACCAAAAAAATATTCTACATTGGGTCAGAGAGGATCCACAGTCATTGACACTGAGCATAAGGCAGGCAGGGGGAGCCATCCAAGACGGCTATAGTGACAATATCAGGGGAAACCTGTTTAGCATTAAACAAATCTAACTGATCAAGAATGATCGGGTGGCTACAGCATTGGCCTATGACTCAGGAGACCTGGGTGATATTCCTGGCTGTGCCATTGGCCTGTTGGGTAACCATGATAAGTCCCTTTAATTTTCAGTTTCCCCATCTGTAAAATGGGAATAATCATACTAGCAAAGAAAGGTATAACATGATCCAATGGCTGGATGCTGAAGCTAGACAAATTCAGACTAGAAAGGAGGCTTAAATTTCTTACCAGGACCGGTAATTAACCACTGGCACAATTTACTAAGGCAGTGGTGGATTCTTGATCACTGAACATTTTTAAATCAAGATTGGGTCTTGTTCTGTAAGCTTTGCTCTAGGAATTATTTGGGGGAGTTCTATGGCCTGTTTTACACAGGAGGTCAGACTAGATGAGCACAATGGTCCCTTCTGGCCTTGGACTCTAGGAACCCCCAATGTTGTATCCTAAACCACACATCTAGTGGAAGATTACTGCACGGGTCCATGGAGCCTGTGCCCAGGGGCCCCTGCCAATTTGGGGCCCCTGGAAAAATCTCCCCCACCAGGCCCCTGGGGCTGGAGGAGTTCTTGCTCCCTGCCGCAGCCCCGAAGCCATGGCGGGGGTACAAAGCTTCCCCGTTCTCAGGGCTGCAGCTGGGGGTGGGGGCAGAAAGGAGAGAGTGGTGTCAGGGCTGTGGGGGAAAGAGTGGAAGGGGGGCAGGGCCACAGGGGAAGCTCAGAATGGGGTGGGTCTGTGGGCAGGGCCATAGGCAGAAGGGGTGAAACGGGCTGGGCCGCAGGCGAAAGGGGTTGGGCAGGTCCACGATTCCAGCTTTGGGGCCCCCCGACTTGCTCCGGCCCACGGTCCCTAGAGACCTTGATCCGTCTCTGCGCACACCTTGTTAAAACCCAGTCAAGGGTGAACCAGGGCACAACCCAACCATACAAAACCTTGGAAACCAGAAGGATTTTCCCTTCATGTGGCATTTCCAATACTTTGTGCTGCCCATATAGCCAGAGTGACCGCTGCCTATTGTACACGCGCACTCCCACAAGGAAACAGCTTCGGCTGCCTGCAGTTAGTGCTGCACAATCCTTACTCCTTCAATCTGTGCAGATAGGCTTGCCTGTGCTGTAGTGCAAAACCTTACCTCCACCCTCAGCCGTGTCCTTGTAGGTCAACAGTGGACACGGGAAATGACGTCTTGTCTGAAATCAGTGGTGGTGCATGGATATGCTCCGAGTTAAGGTTTTGCCTTAGTGTGTGTTCATTGAATTTGGGAAGTGTGTTGTGTTTCGGTATCTGTTGGAGTGGCCACCTCTCTGTGGACTAACTGGAGGGTTGTCCAGTTAGTGGACACATGAGAGGAACAGCTTCCTACATGGCTGTTTTTGCTGTCCTGTGCAGTGTGGAATTCAAGACACGGAGCAGTTTAGAGCTTGGATTAGAAAACTCCAAGACCAATTTGTGGAGCTTTGGGCCAGTGAGTTACCTGAAATGTACAAAGAGCAGAGGAAAATGGTAATGACCTTGACAGCATCCTTTTAAAATGAGGTTGTTTTCCCAGTTCATGTGCCCTGCTCCCCTAGCCATATCCTGTCAATCATCTGCCTGCACTGGGACGATTCCCTAGAGGTGAAAGGCTCCACATCCCAGTCTCCAGAGCCTTCCAAGGGCAGGATTAGTCCACTTTTTACTTTTCCAATAACTGTTACTGAAGTGCTGCTGTATCGGTATTTGATACATGCTGAATATGCATAGCCTCATGACATTGTACCATGGCAGTGAGACTTGGACTGATTTAGGTGCATCCACCAAGAAATAACATTGCTGGAGCATGGAATCCATTGATGATCTGTGCACGTTTCTGCAACATGCAGGAGAAGCAGTGGGTGATGAAAGCAGACACTGAGGTTCCAGGGCTATACAGTGCTTTAGGTGCGGACTTGGTAGGTGATGCTTGTGGAGGACAGGAAATGTGGCAGTGTACTGAGGGGCTGATGAGCTGTCCAACTGTACAATAACTTTGGCTATAGAGTGATGACTGACCACCAGAGTGAGTGCAGGGCTCAGTTGGGGAGCCTGAAGAATGGACACAAGGGAGGAAATACTTCTATGGGAAGTCGTCATTTGGTGTCTTAGACACACGGGGAAGCCTCACTGAGGGATATTCATTTCAGGCGCGAGTTTCAATGGTGCAGAGCACCCACTGTTCGACTGGAGTTGTGGGCACTCATCAGCACTTGGACAGGTCAGGCCCTTAGTCGGAATCTGGTCTTCAGAGAGGACATTTATTTTGTATAGTTTTGAGTGTGGACAGGGTGCCCACAGAGCAGTCTTGTTAACACACACAGTAAATTGGCCAGATTTTTCTCTCATCTCATGGCCTTGTGACACTACAGAAGTATATTGAAAGATCAGGCCTTACAGGGCCAAATACATTTACCTTCCCCCACAAGCAACACCTACCAATAAGAGATGTATTGGTATATGAACTGAATACAAAAGCACAGACTCCTCTGGCCTTCCTTGAAAGTGAATGATACCTCCCAAAATGCAGGTAGGAAACAGCCCAAGTAAAGATGTTTCTTTCCCAGGGAAGTTAGCATCACAGACTAGTCTAGGCAGACGAATCAGGAATGCCTCTTAAAGGTTCCCCAAAACAAATCACAGATGCATGAAGACAGTAGAAAGTCCCAGGGCTTGAGATTACAGAAAATCACTTTCATTTAAATAAAAAAAAAAAAAATCCAAAGCTCAGCACCACAAGAAAGCTGAGATTCACATGTTTTCAGGTTTGGTTCTTAGTTTTTTTCCCTTAAACTCCCCCTCCCACCTTCAGAAAACTTGCTGGGTTGATATTCTGAAGTTTTATTTCACATTTCTGAGGGAAGAATTGAGCCCTAGTGTGTTCTATTTCCAGAAAACCATGTTTTACCCTCCCAAATGTACGTTTCACTTGCATTCATGTCAAAGGGAGTTGCGAATGTGGATGTATCAGCAAGCACAGACTCTGGTCCTGACCATTCAGTCCACTGTATAGTATATTGCATTAAAAAAAATACACTGCTAAGAGAATGTTAAGGTTGCAAAGTCAAGCGTTCAGAAGCAAGGAAATACCAGAATTGAGGTTGCTTTTGCAACCTCACTGCATGCTCAATGCAGACAGAATCTTGAGAGAATTTGGCTACCAAACTCTTAACAAGTCTCTGCTGAGCATATGCAAACTACCCCCCCTGCCAAATTTCAATTCCTTGTCCCAAAGCATGGACACGCTAGAACCTCTCAACGAAATGGATGTAAAAACTTTTTTAACAAAGGGGAAACAATGTCTTTTTTCTCCTAATCTTGGTCTTGGAAATGGATAAACTATTTTTTTAGAATCATAGAATAGAATATCAGGGTTGGAAGGGACCTCAGGAGGTCATCTAGTCCAACCCCCTGCTCAAAGCAGGACCAATCCCCAATTAAATCATCCCAGCCAGGGCTTTGTCAAGCCTGACTTAAAAACTTCTGAGGAAGGAGATTCTACCACCTCCCTAGGTAACGCATTCCAGTGTTTCACCACCCTCCTAGTGAAAAAGTTTTTCCTAATATCCAACCTAAACCTCCCGCACTGCAACTTGAGACCATTACTCCTTGTCCTGTCCTTTTCTACCACTGAGAATAATCTAGAACCATCTCTGGAACCACCTCTCAGGTAGTTGAAAGCAGCTATCAAATCCCCCCTCATTCTTCTCTTCTGCAGGCTAAACAATCCCAGTTCCCTCAGCCTCTCCTCATAAGTCATGTGTTCCAGACCCCTAATCATTTTTGTTGCCCTTCGCTGGACTCTCTCCAATTTATCCACATCGTAGTGTGGGGCCCAAAACTGGACACAGTACTCCAGATGAGGCCTCACCAATGTCAAATAGAGGGGGACGATCACGTCCCTCGATCTGCTCGCTATGCCCCTACTTATACATCCCAAAATGCCATTGGCCTTCTTGGCAACAAGGGCACACTGCTGACTCATATCCAGCTTCTCGTCCACTGTCACCCCTAGGTCCTTTTCCGCAGAACTGCTGCCTAGCCATTCGGTCCCTAGTCTGTAGCTGTGCATTGGGTTCTTCCGTCCTAAGTGCAGGACCCTGCACTTATCCTTATTGAACCTCATCAGATTTCTTTTGGCCCAATCCTCCAATTTGTGCAGGTCCCTCTGTATCCTATCCCTGCCCTCCAGCGTATCTACCACTCCTCCCAGTTTAGTATTATCCGCAAATTTGCTGAGAGT